CTGCTTGTGCCACGCCCTTTTGCAGAAGTCAACATTCACGATTAGGAGAAGCCAACTTGGAGAATTGGTTTGCTGTGAGAGCTTGTTTTGCATTGGCCTAAGTTTGTAGGACTTGCTGCCAGAGTGCTTATCTCTTTGTTTATTTTGGGCTTGCAGCCAATGAGAGTCTGGACTGATTAAAAGTATTCCTATTTACGTTTGTCTCAGCTTTCATTCCTGGATGGAGAAGGGGGCGGGGTTAGAACACAACCTATTTTGGTTCATCCCCATGATAGGATCTCCTAAAGCCTCAAAAAGGTGTCTACCAGCTGCCTGTTGCATTATAGCACTATCAGATGTACTGTGAACTTTAGGAATCAACATATGTAGCCACTGACCACAAAAGTTTTGAGCCATTTAAGGACATTTAAGGACTCACAAAAATTTACAAAGCTGCAAAAAAGAATCACATGTAATTAACCTACATATTATTTGTAGCATGTTTTGATGGCACCTCTGTTTGGTCAATTTCATTTTTTGATTGTTGTCCTGCTTCCAAACGTAGATCAAATGCCGTCACTGTTTAATCAAATACAGACACAATGGAAAGGGAGAACTGGATATCTTTTGCACCCTGGTTATTCATTGTTCTAATTTCTGAAATCTCCTCTGCTGCAGAGAGCCCAAGAGAAACCTAGAATTTTCCACCACTAAATATCAGGTGGACAAAGCAGATGTTCTTAGTGCTGCTCTCTAGAGCACAAGGACCATCCTACTGGGTTGATAGCAATCCCGAGAAATTAACAGGAATCCCCGTTTCTAGTACAGATCATTTCTCAGGGGAACCAGGGTAGTTTTGGTGATGAAGCTAGGTATGAAACTAGAAGGAAATGATCCTGGAAAGCTGTTTCATTTCAGTACATCTGAGATTTATTGCGTGCAATACTATCCACTCTTATCATTTTAAGCAAACAAGGAATCTTAGGAATTGATAACAATGTATGAGCCAAGGAAGGAATCAAGGAGGGGAGCTTTACTAGCAAGTTCAGGGCTGTGTTTCTTCTAATGGT